ATTGCCATTTTGGAATTAGGTGGTGCGGACATTTCCTAAGGAGGTCTTGAAGTCTTTCCCAAGTCTCATGGAGTTGTTCCCTATCGATTTGTGCAAAGCTAAGAATAGAATGCCTCATTTGGTTGGTCTTACTCACAGGATAGTATTTTTTTAAGAATTCTTGCTGTAATTGAGCCAATGTAGTGATGGAATTGGAGTAAGGGAGTTCAACCAATATTTCGCCCTATTTTTTAAGGCGAATGGGAAGAGATGCAAATGGAGAGCATTTTCAGGGAAGCCCCTAAGCTTGATGGTAGAACATATTTTAAGGAATTCATCAAGATGCTTATAGGGGTCTTCATTTTCAAAGCCATGAAAGGATGGAAGCATTTGAATTGTGCTAGATTTGATCTCATATTGGGCTGCCTCGATGTTTGGCATCACTATGCAAGAAGGAGAGGTATAAGTTGTAAGGATGAAATGGTCCCTAAGATTCATGGGAACTACATTTGGAATTTCGGCCATATCATTATTGATTCCCTCATTCTCGACATTTTCTTCATTACCATCCATTGTATTAAATTCAAGTTTAATTCCTTTTATGTTTGCAGATTCCCTAAGGTTTCTTCTAAGAGTCATTTCAAGTGAATTTATATCAATTGGAGATTCAAGAGTTGGCAAAGATAATGACCTACGACCAATCATCAACAACACATTTCACAACCAAGACAACAATTCATCACTATAACCTCCACATACGATGCTCCTTTTTCTCCTCAATTATCAATAAGACAAAATAAATGGCCATGACAAAGACCGATGCTTTGTAAAACAGTAAAAAGAAATAGCCTCGACAAGGGCTTTACAAGCTAGATATCACTAATTTAAACACATGCAAGACATTCACAATTGTGATACAAGAACTTTGAAAAACTTACCAGGAGTCCTCTAGACTTACAAATTTGGTAGCTTTCCCTCAGCAAGCCTTGAGTACCTAGAATTTCACTAGAATACTTAGAACACAATGCAATCAAAACCGAATGAGAAAATATTCACAAGACACAATATTCACAATCAAACCAAAGTTAATCTTTGAACCTTGGTTACAAAACCGTTTGCAATCCCCGGCAACGTCGCCAAAAATTGATTGGTCTCATTGACTATCACAATAATAATCAACCCTTTGCAATAGCACAAATCATTGTAAAATAGGGCTATTGGACGGGTAAGTCGAACCACTGGTATTGCTAGTTTATGATAACCAAGGTCTTGAAAATCACTTAGTTTGATGAATGGAGTATATAGTTTTTGTTTGGTTTGTCACTAGAATTAGGAATTAAAATTGCATAAAACAATAATTGCAAGGAATTGAAGAGATAAAAATAATATAGAGAGGATTAGGGAAGTGAATTCACTACCTACCCTATTAACATACTAGAATATGGTTTACATGGGAGAACAACATATATAAGTGGCCATGATATGTAGCTACACATGGTTGCTACATTATCTTCAAGAAATTCATGAATTCAATGGCAAGAATAACCTATCAAAGTTATACATGCTTGAACTACCTAAACTAGTATGTAGCATTAGACATGCTTACTAAGCTAGAGATTATCAAACATTCAATCAAATGATAAAAGCATATGATGTCAAGAATCAAGAATAGTCCATCAAAGGAAGGCCCTAAACTGTGGAATATCAAGGTTCTCATACAACATGCCAAGAAACCTATTTCATAATCTCATTTCCATTATCACTATGAAAATGCAAGCCATACAATCATGAGAAAATATGATCTAAGACAAGAAAACAGATTCAACATAATCATTTATAAGAATTTAGGTTCATTACATCAAGTGTAAACTCTAGATTATGAAATAACCACATGTACACATCATTTCTCCCAAAATAAACCAAAACTAGAACATGCTTACTAGAGAGGGCTTCATCACCTCCCTAGATAGGGAGTTAATTACTCATGGATGTAAGGGAGGAAGGAGAAGAAGTGGTCTCACCCTCCATTTTTCACACCTCAAGGCCACAAGACACACAAACCCTCTAAACTCACAATATTTCTCTCTCTAAAACTTGCAAGAATGTGAGATAATGTGAGATATATCATACATGCCTTATTATATCCACCTTATTCTCTTATCTACCCCCAAATTCGTGGTCCATAAGCCCTATACAATATCAGAGCAATCCCCTAATTAAGGGGATAACATTTGGTGGGAAAAGAGGGAGCCCATGCCTGATTATCTACAAATTGGCGGGCGCCCGCGGCTGCACGAAGATACTGGCTAATCGGGCAAGCGCCCGCGGGAGTAGGAATGTTACTGGTAAAATGGGTGGGTGCTCGCGGGAGCCTCGGCCACACTGGTCAAATGGGCGGGCACCCACAATTTCTGGGGTTTTTGCTCTGAATTTTTGCTCTTGAACCTCTCTTGGCGCGTACTGTTGACGCAACTCTTCTTCCTAGAACTTTGTGCATAGAGCGCCATGAGTTCCATGGATCACTTGGCTTGGCCAAAATGATGGTCCCCGACAACGGCGTACTTTGATCTTCAAAAACTTATTAAAGCATCACTTTTAACTTTCTTTGGGGAGCCAACCTGAAAATAGACAAAAGCATGCAAACAAAACTAATGTATGCCGTATGATCAACTAATGGATTTAACTAATGCAAATAAGGGCGCTTGAATGTACAATATTCGGCGCTTATCAATGGGGAATCCAGAGGATAGGAATGTAGCACTTATCACATACAAATTGAAGGGAAGAACTTCTGTTTGGTGGGATCAATTGCGGGTTACTTGTGCATGACAAAAAAAAAAAAAGCATTGATACGATCTTGGTTGAAGATAAAACATCTTTTAAAAGCCAAATTTCTTCCATCTTAGTATGAGGAGTATAAGGAGATCTAATTTTAGCCCTACCAAGATATTTTGCCGAGGTATACTACGGTTCAGCCCTATACCATGTCATTATTGACTTTAAACTCAACATCCTTCTATAATGAAAAAGTTTGCACAAGCTGTAAAAATCAGACCAAAAATTATGTGTTCAAGAATCGAAATCTAATAAAAATTGCCTAGAAGAGGAGATGAATGAAATAAATAATGAGGAATATCAAAATTTTATTCAAGTAACAAGTGATGTTATGGAGATTGATCAAAATAAAATTTGTGTTGCTCCACTTCTTCTAGTAGTTAAAGCAATGCAGTTAAGGAATTTGAGATAACAAAAGAAGAATATGGTGACAAGAAGTTCAACGTTGAAAGCGAGAAACATGAATTATTTGATGATAGAGTCAAAGAAAGTTTTAAATTGCATGTCCAATATAGTTTTGATGAATTTGGGTTTCGAATTGGTTATCATAGCACTAAACAATATGACTTTGTGTTAGGCAATATTAATACTTCATGTTATTCACACCCAAACTCGAGGACGAATTTTTTTTTAAGTGGAGGGAACTAATGTACGACAGAAATTCAGTCAGACCAACAAGTCCGACTTCGACAAACCAAGAGTGTTTTTAGTTTGGAAACAACGCATTGAGAAACACCCACAAGCGGCCATGTTGGTTTTCGACTAAAAACCTTCGTTTAAGGCTCCGAAACCGGGTTTTCTTATTTGTTAGGAGGCATGTTGATTATTTCCGAATTTTTGTTCGAGGCCTAAACAAAGTCTAATTGCTCTCAAATTTTAGATTTAGTATTTTTTACTGTTTAGGTTTCTTATTCTATTTTTTCCGGAATTTTTAGCCATCTCCATTAACGGACATTAGTCATCTCTCCTCTCCAAAATGAATGAAAAACTAGAGGGCTCAGATTCTAATAGGGATAATATTATGGATGTGTGTGCATTTTTGCTTGCGTTTAATTATAAAAATAAATAAATAAATAAAGGGGGCATATACTCCAAAAGAAAATTCAACAAACTAAAGGATCAGAGATCCAACATGAAGGACTAAACTCTTGGTAACAATGATTGAGCATGAAAATGCAACTACTATATATGACGTGGAAAAGGAAATTGGTTGATCCTAGATATAATCAACCTTAAAAGCTAAGAATATTCACAACCATTATTTATCCCTCAAATTCTCTTGTTCGCCGTGTTCTCCTCTTGTTTTATAAAAGAAGAAAAAAAAAATGCAAATAACAGTAATTATAATAACAATAACACAAACAAACAAGAAATCCCCCCTTATATCTTTCCAATTTCAAGGATATCTCCTCATTTACAGTTGCATCTCTGTCTTCCTCTTCAACTAATTTTGCAGAGCTTTGCCCCATATTGGAATTCAATGGTATATATCTCTGTTTTTTTCTCTCTAATTTTATTATGCTCATTAAAAAAATGATAAAAATTTCTTTAGACATATCGTCCTTACTTTTTTGAATAGTATTTCAATCGTTGTCAGATCGAAAATTTCATTTGACGGCTTTACAAATTGAAAATCTTATGATTTTGTTCTTTCTAGAAATAAAACTTTTACGACAGTGGCTCACAGCTCAGAATGATAGCTTCCCCACGCAACCAAACTAATAAAAAAAAAAGTTGCAAAATCGGTGAGAAACTTCCCTATAAACGACCAGTAAGGATTCTCACGAGCGTGAGATAAGACTGCTGTATACTCTATGGGGATTGGATTACTAGGTGGAACCCACCTGTAATGGTCTACTCTCATGACCTGATGATGTAATTTTCACCCTTGTTGAAGTAGAGGACCTCTCGGCCACTGGAGAATAACCAATTAACTCCCATAGGCTAAGAAGGGTCCAGTTCTTAAGAAATTACCACGTTTCTAAACGTTTTAATCTTAACTTTATTTAAAATTCAAAATGTGCTATGTGTCTTTTAAACGGATCAATTTTCTGAAGGTCTAGAATTGTTATGAATTCTCAATACATTTGATTAAAATTTGGGATTTTTGTTTGTTATATAACAAATTTTTATGGTGTCAGAGAAAAGATTGATTCAATTGTCAATTCAAAAGAGAGGAATAGGCAATGGTGAGCGAATATGGCGATCATCATTTATCAGTGGAATTGATAATCGAGATTCTCTTAAGGCTGCCAGTGAAATCGCTTCTACGGTACAGGTGTGTTTGCAAAAAGTGGTATTGTCTAGTTCAAAACTCACATTTTCATGAAAAGCACCATCATCACAACCACCATAGTGCACGACTCCTTGTTCTTCACTATAACTACACCACAGACAAATATTCTTTCGCCCTATTCCCTGATGAAACTCTTGCAAGTGAACCGTTTATTTATCACGATGTGAATGATCTTCAGATGCCAGGCAATCCTAGTGTTTTTGGTCCCTTTAATGGCATACTTGGTCTTTGGGTAAGAGATCGCCTAGCTCTATGGAATCCCGCTACAAGAGAATTCAAGCCACTCCCTGTACCCAACCCCAACCTTCCACCTGATTTTAGCGCCTATTGTTATTTTTTTGGGTTTGGATTGGATCCTGTAACCAACTACTATAAGGTGGTTTGGATTCGGTACTTTTGGGATGACAAAGATGACAATCCTTACGACCCTATTGTTGTTGTAGTGTATAATCTCTGCACTGGTTCTTGGAGACTCTTTGAATTAGACTCTTCTCAATGTGATTTCATACAAGATTCTTTGTGTAACACATACACAAAAGGAGTTTATTATTGGATGACCATTCGTAATGGCAAAATATATAAAATCCTTACATTCGACATGAGTAATGAGATTTTTCGAAATATTAAAGCACCGCCAGATATTCCCGAATCACTATGTAGTCATCTTTCCATGTACATTGATTCTATTGCTTTGTTACTTTATGAAGTAAATGCAATTGAAAAATATTTTGACATTTGGATTAAGAAGGATGAGGACTGTTGGACCAAACAATTTACTATCGGACCCTTTTTAGATGTGGCTAGGCCACTTGGTTTCTGGAAGAACAATGAGTTCTTTGTAGAGCTAAAAACTTCAAAGTTGGCTTTATATAACCCTGATACTCAAGAAATTAAGGATCTTGGACCTCGTGGAAAGGATTATTGTCTTATAGTACTTATTTACAAAGAGAGTTTAGTGACGGCCAAGGGAGGAAATGAAGGCCAAGAAGTGGGTAATGCTTCTGATATGGTTCAAGTTCAAGATTTATTCACATATCCTCCTATTGTCATATGTGGATGTCAAACAGTCGAAGAAATTCAGTCTGTTATAAATGTATAATTAGTGTATATAGAATATTCTTTTACTGCATCTTATTTTTCCCTTTTGTGTACCCTGTAAAATTCAATTGCTTTCACAACATTGGCAGCATCATCTGTCCCATATGGTTTCAGTTGGTAACTTCTTATATTAGGCATCTTGCATCTTCAATGCATATATTAGGTAGGAGAAGAATGAGTAATAGGAAAAAGAAGAGGTAAATGCATAACTTGGATATTAATTCTTAATACTATTATTGGATTTGTGTATTCTATTAGATGATATTTAAATTGTCCCATTGGTTTGAAGTGTTATTTTCTCCGTCAGATAACTAACAACATAGGCTTCTAAAAGGATTTTCAAAATGCTATGAAGCATGCTACTGACTATATCATTGACGAACATATATATTAGCTTGTGAATTGCGTGAATTGTGCTATGCGAAATAGTTGTAAAAGTTCGAATCAAAATAAGAACCTGGTGAATAGGTCTAACTCGCACCTTTGTCGAATTTTTTTTATTTTAATTTTACCCAAATTAAAACTAAACCAAACCGTCAAGGCAGTAAATAAAAGTGCGATGAAGTAAGAGATGACACCAAGATTTTAGAGTGAAATCCAATCGGGATAAAAACCACCAACACTTTCCTGTCTCGAGCAGAACAATCCACTATCTCAAAGCAAAGTACAACAAACTTTGTATTAGACTCACACCCACTCCACTATGCCAATAACAAGTTGTTGAACACCTCACACTTACTGTTACTCCTCAATTCTTGAAGAAGGGTTGCTAGAATATCACCATTGCTTCGTGAACAATCTAACATCTTCATAGTGCGATTGAATTCTCCTTCCTTACAACTACAAAGTTGATAGGAGAAAAATTAAGTATGCTTTTGAAATGAATCAAATTACTCTTCAATACGTTCTGAACTCTAATCAAATTGAGAACAGTATTCTAAAATCACTCATGTGTAATAGTATGTGTTCTCAAAGAAAGAAAAATACAAAGGATGATTTTCTATGAATCCCTCTCAAAAGCCCTCTTACTTGTAAAAACAATACAGTCTAAGCTCTATCTTTTTCATGAAAGAAATAGAGTATTTTACATATGTATGAGAATATTTGTGTAGGTTGGAAGTTAGGTCAAAAACGTTCAAGGATATCACTCACAAGTTTAGTCAAAAAAGAAGTCTAAAATTAGTAAAACTGTAGTTTCCTTTTATGTTCTGAACAAATGTAATTGGTCAGACTTTTTAGGCTTAAAAGTGTAACCGGATGGACACTGTAGTAGTTCCAACTGAGGAAGTTGGACCGGTCAGAAATAGTACAACTGGTTGGACTTTGCGAAACCAATTTTTTTTATTCAAAAACCTTAATTTTATAATCCGTACAAAACTTAACCATATGTACAAGGTGTTCTCACTCAACAAATTTGTTGTATATGATATTCTCATTGAACCAAAGTATGCTTGCACTTGGTGTTCTGCTTCCGACATCGAGATATAAAATAAAATGACAATTCCAACTTGATCGACTTGTTTTAGACACGAAATTTGCCAACACAAAATAATATCTCACAAATCCTTGTACTAAGTAAAAGGGTATGCGTGCCAATGTTCAGGTAAAGTGATAATGCCAAAGCATATAAAGTGGTGTAGCATTGGTGTTCCTAACTGCAGTCTTAGCATGTAATATTGTGTACGTGAGTGAGTAAGAGAGAGTTTCTTTATATATTTGAGTTCAACCACTATCAATTTCAACATTCAGTACATGCCAATGTTCAACATTTTCTTGTTTTCAAGGACTTTGGAGAAAGTAGTGGAACAGAGGCACATTTTTTAAGCGAAAGAAGTTTAGTTTCTAATTTTAACTAAAAGAACTAAAACATAGGAGAAATAAAGAGAATTTGGTTGTAAATTTTGATAACGTCATGTCTTTTGGTGCATATGGTACAATATTGTCCTCTTTGAGCCGAATATAGCAAGGTTTTGTTCCTGGGCCATTGCCCAAAATGCGTTGTACCATGGAGAGTACCAATCATATATATATATATATAGCACGTTCCCTTTCAACACCCAGTTGATGTGGGGTCGTGCACCCACAACCTAATAGTGCCTCACAGCCACCCACGTACACTCGCCCACAAGGTCACCACGTATATATTGAGTATCCTAGGTACCTACTTGTACTATCTATGTGTTTGGATAACAGAAGCAAATTTATGTGAAGATTCAATCATGAGAAAAATAATAATCATGCACATAACATAGGATATAAGTGATTCGGCCAGACCAGACCTACGTATGTCCCTGATGAGAAGAGTTTCACCATGATTGACCATGTACGCAAACTCTTGCCTCAGAGTTTCAGTGTACTCCGCGAGACTTCTTGTCGCCATCAATTTTAGTGTACTCCTCATGACGCCACCACCTTCTAAGGTTACATGTTTTTGAATCTCATAAATCTCGAGCGAAAACAAAGCTAATTGTTTGTTATGTGTTGTATCTCAAATTCTAATCTAATTAGATTTACATTAATATTTTAAAGTCATATTTCATTAAATGATTTCTTGTTAGATAAGTTTTAGGCTCCAAGGAATTATAATCCTTGTCAAATGAGGATCATTTGGATTTGAAACTCTATAAAGATGTAGAATTGTGTGGAGAAGGTAGAGAAGCCAAAAACAATGGAGGAGTTTGTAAGAAGAAAACAGAGTGGTGAGAGTAGAGAGATGCAATAAGTGGATGGACATTCTCTACAATTGTATATTTTCTTCTTCTTTTTGATTTATTATATATAATGAAATTTCTTCTCTCCATGAACATAGGTCGAGTTTGGCTTAAGCATATTAAATATAATGTTATTGTGTGTGTTTGTGATTTTCTTTTGATGTGCTGAATGAAAGATTAAAATACCTAACAAGTGGTATCAAAGCTAGCTTCATTTTGGAGAGTTTATTAGAGCTTAAGGTTTGTCTTGGAGAGTTTGCTACGACCAAAGGTTCAAAAGAGAGATTTTCAGAGTTGACGGTTCGTCGTGGAAAGTTCGACAGTTCGTTGATAGAGATCCAAAAGACTCAATTAAAAAAAATAAAAATAAAGAGAAGAAGTTAGGTTTATAGTAGGTGATGTTAATGAAGAATGTAAAGAGGAAGATGCTGGTGTGGGTATCCAACCCAAAAGTTAACCTGTTAGGTGGAGTGACCCTTGCCCTATATAAGTTCAAGATTTCCTTGTTTTCTAACCGGACTCGTTCAACTACCCAATAACCCCCCTAGTCTATATTATTGTTGTTACCTCCCACTAGTCTCTACCGAATACTTTCTGACTAACTTGACAGACCACTGGACAGCAGATTCCATAACGAAGCTTGGCAGATCATTTGCAACGTTACTTCCAATTGTAACATTACAAAGAGAAGGAGGTCAAACGAAGAAAAAATAAAAGTAAAAAATTGGAATTTTATGGGTCTTATTTGCAATGATTGGTTTTTGTTTTTTGTTTTTCTTCTTTATTATTATTATCCTCTTGAATAATATTACTCACTTTTTTTAGTGATCGAGTAAGATAATTTATAAGAAGAAGAAATATGTACAGATCTCGAAGAGGGTATAATATTAGTGGACAATATTGTGAATCTATGTCCATTTGCTTGATCTTTAAGAAAGAATAATAATAAAAAATTTAAAAATATAATAAAATAAAAAAGGCATACCGTCCAAAAGAGAATTACATGGAGCAGAAAACTCAGCAAACTGAAGGATCAGAGATCCAACTTAAAGGACAACACTCTTGCCTGGATAAAATCAACCTGAAAAGCTAAGAAAATTCACAACCACTATGTATCCCTCAAATTCTCTTATTCGCCGTGTTTTCCTCTTGTATTAAAAGAGAAAAGGAAACGCAAATACTAATAATAATAATAAAAATAATAGAAACAAAAAAGAAATCCCCCATCATATCTTCCCAATTTCAAGGATATCTCCTCATTTATGGCTTTTTATTTTTTTATCCTTCTCTTTCAACGAATTTTGCAGAGCTTTGCCCCATATTGGAACTCAATGGTTTGTATCTTTTTTTCTCTGTCTGATTTTATTAAGCTCCCTAGAAAAATAATTAAAATTCTTTCGATGTATCAATCATTATCAGATCTGAAAATTTTCATTTGACTACTACATAAATTGAAACTGTTATGATATTATTATTTGTAATGGTCCACTGTCTTCACGTGATGATACAACTTCCGCCATTACTCCAACACGTAATGGTCCACTCCCTTTACCTGATGTTACAACCTCCGCCATTACAGAAGTATAGGACCGTCTCCCATATACCACTTAAGCTAATGATCCATATATTGGTAGGAAATTAGCATGTTTCTTAATCTTTCAAAAAAGGACAATGCTTAGGTCCTTCCCTTCGGAGCACGAACATTGTCCTCCCAGCACATGTAGCACAAAACCCCCCACTAGAATCAAATAGATTCCCAAACTAACGAAATTGATCAAATTACCCAAAACCCGTAGCGGACTCAAATGTAACCTTGATATTTAAAGTTAAATTAAAATACTAAAAATTACAATTTTAAAATTACAAAAATAACCCTCTTAAGTTTTGTCTTCACCCCTCCCCTCCCCCACCAATTCTCTTTATGAAACCAGACCAATCACAATCAATAGCAGAAGCAACAATTAATGGACTCCATCACCACCCACCACCAATGAATGACTATCTCTGCAACTGCAAGATCGTTGTTGACCTACCTCATTTTCCTCCTCATCACTCTCTTCAACACCACCACCTCCAAGTTGGACTCGAACCGAGTTGCCGCCGAGCTCCTCAACCTCCAATCTTGATCTGAATCGGGTATCATCCACCACAACAGCCAACTCCTCAGCCGCTTCATCTCCAACAACAAAGACACCCATCTGAATCCAAACTTTTCTTCTGCAGCATTGAGTTCAAGGAGTCCTAAACCACCTTCGCACAATTGTCGCCTGCCCCCAACCGCCTAACCTAA